TTCCGCGATTGGGCTCATTTTTTTTTTCAGGTCGGTCGGGCCTGACGGGGAACCCCTATCGGACGCGGAGCTGGAGTGGGCGGTGCTGTGTCTCGAGGAAGCCGAGGAGCGCATGTCGGCCATGTATTTCTCCACAGCGGCGGGCATTCTCGAGGGCGTGCTGGGAAGGTGGGTTCGGTTTCTCGACGCTGCTCCCGTGTTTTTTTTTATGTTCCTGACACCTACAGTATGATTCCGAGTCAACGGACGTGTTTTCCTACTGCTTGAGTAGACTTCCTTGACTTCATTCGGGAGGAAATTAAAAAACAAGAGGTAATAACAAAGATGTCGGTGAAGGACGGGGCCAGAAGGGCGGGGACCCTTGGGCAATGGATTGCGCACCTGGACTGGTCTTTCGTTGCTGGGGTTCCAGAGGCGAGCAGTGTCTCGAATGGTTCCCTCAGTGGGCGTGAAGGGATTTGTTGTGCGGATGTACCGGCGCTGGGGCGCTTGGCTTGATCGATAGCATGTTCAGCAGCCGCCATCGCTCGGGACAACGGGGATGCTTTGGCGGGTCTGCGGGAGGTGCGGAACCGCAATGCGCAGCAAATAGAATCGGGTTGTTCGGAGTGCTTCGAAAACCGTTCGTCACACACCGTATGGGGACATGTCGTGCATCTGAAGAGCGTATTTGGTTAGCAAGGTTTTTGTTGGTTGGGGGCGGGGGGCGGACTTTTTCTTGGACTGGCTTGCCGACGCGCTCCCCAACGCGCTCCATCCCGTCCAACCATCGGCGCTCTCATCCGCTTCGTTTGCTCTGCCCGGTGCCCCCCCGTCCGAACTCAACCCTTGCCCCGTCCGGCAGATGCCCTGGTCTGACCCTCGCGTACTACCGGCTGGCGTTGTGTGTCCTGGCCGCGAGGGGCGAGCATGGCTCGAGCCAGGCGAAGCTATTGCTCGACTGCGCCATGTCTCTGGAGGGCGTGGAGAACCGACACCTCAGCGCCGGCGTTGACCTAGTGCTGAGAATACTCCGGTAGGACCTGGTCTGTTGCATTTTTTGCATACAATATGCCCATTTGGGGGGGGGGTTGTGCTCGTCCAGGCAGCGGGGTGGCAGCTCGATGTTTTTTTCTTTCATGGTTCAGTCACGGTCTCCAGAGAGAAGACCGGAAGGAGGAGGAGCGTGATTTCGCTTGGCTTGTGTTGGCGACTGGGTGTGCGTGTGTGTGATTTTCCGGCGGTGGCACAACAATGGGCCCGGGTGTACGCTCGCCTGCTGCTGTTGTGCCATGCCCGTAAGCTTGCGGTTTGACGATACCATCGCTCTGTACCGATGCCACGACATGGCGACCGTTGACTCCCCGGCACCGCGGAGGAATCGATGAAACCTTGGGGATGGTCAAACGGGGGGTGTATTGCCGGACGGGGAATCAGTCGCCCCTCCTGCATCTCTCTGCTCCTCGAACATTTTCTTCGTCTTGTCTTATCAAACGGAACAACAGCAAGCACAAGGAACAAATTGAAATTACTGGAGGAAAACCGAGCCGGAAGCAATGCTCGACGTGAACGGTTTGTTTTGCCGCGAAGCGCGTCAGTCCGTTGCGCACGATTCGCCTCCAGTACTTCCGTTTTTTGTTGTCAGGCGTCCGAATCACAGCCCCCGCTTTCTCCCCCACGTTTCCTCGCTGTGGTGCCCGTTGGCTTTGCTTTCGTATTGGCCATTTTTGTGCGCTGTTTCGGAATGCACGGGGCCGCTTGAACCGACGATTCACCCTGCCGGCGGCAAGAAATGACGCTATTCCGGAGTCCTACTGGTCGGTGAGTTTTTCTTAACGGGATGTGTTGCTGGCGGGTCGTGCATTAAAACCCCGGGCAAAGTAGATGTACTTGGTAGTGTAAATGTGTACCAATGCCCCGGTTCTATCGAGCGTTGGAGATGGCGTTTGCCTGCAGCAGTCAGCCTCTGTGGTGCGTTCGGACCCGAAATTGGGCGTGCTTGTGCCGACCCTCCGGGTTGGTGCTTGGCATGGAGCGAGCGCTCTGTAGGGATGGCGCCTGTAGTCGAGCGCAAGCGCAAGCAGTCGAGTCTCCGGACGCAAGGAGCGAACGCGCTTAACCCCTTGTTGCGTTTCGCACTGGGGGAGCAGCCTGGACGTGTTCGCTGCAGAGACACCCACGGGAAACAAACGCGTCACACTTCCACACAGAATAGGACCCCCGCGCTCCCTTGCCCCCTGCGCGTGTGATGGTTGATTCAGGAGGACTACCCGAGATCCCTCGGCGACCTACGCGCACTAGAAGCGGCTCTCGACCACCTGGCGTGAAAGCCGCTGTCAGGAAACGTCAGTCACGCGGGAAACAGAACAACCCGTCGGACATTTTCTGGTGTATGTGTAGCCGTGTGACCAAGCGATGGTTGCTCGGTGTTGAAGTTGATTGCTCGGGAGCAGGAGGAAGAGGGGACAGAGTTTGCACCCTGCATATGCGTACCAGAGGTTGGTTGATGTGGCGTATTTTGTACGTTTTTTTAGTCTTCCAGCGATTCGTCTACCACTTGGTGCCGAGTTTATTTTTTTTTAGAAGAGTAGTCACCAGTCAACCGTGGAGAGAGAGCGATCGGACACCCACGTCGTATGCATAGATAACCGGAAAGGCATCTACAGCAGTACCGTACCCCAGAGTACCGCACTAAGCCTTCACGGGTAGGACGGGGGCGGGGGGCGGGGAGCGGTCTAGGTCTGAAGGATTTTTATCCCCCAAAAGGCGACTCTGCGCCAGAGAATTCTGGGGGAAGAGACAAACAGAGGAAGAGTAGGCTTATGAAGAAGATGAGCGAAAGTGCGTAGATGCAGCGTATGTTTGTGCACGTCCTTACTCGTTGTATTTTACTTTGGTAGAGGGCATCCGTTGTAAGTATGCATAAAGGAGGTACATATGCATTTGTTGTTGTTGTTGTTGTTGTCTTCACATAAAAACCGTTCCGATCTCTCTCTACCCAGTACCTTCATTTGTCCGTACTGATCCAACACTTGACGCGTAGTCTAGACTCAAAGACCTTGCTACACAGATTTTTTTTTTTCTCGCCCCAACCTTTCACCCCATGCCATGGAGTAGGCGCCAGTCAATCAATGTGCTTGCAGCTTGTTTGACTTGCTTACCAAAATGCCAGGGTCTACACAAACTTATGATCGTACGGCGAGTACAACATTCATTCAGTCTTACACACGCACACGCACGAATGCGTGAAGGGAGCTTGAAGATTTTAGCAGCAAAACGAAATTAATTGGGTTATGCATAGACTATGCTACTCTGCATAATACGTATTTATGACGCAGTGCATAGAAACATGTTGCTGTATAGCAAGCAAGCAGTGTAGAGGAGTTTGTTTTGTTCCGGGGGTCGTCGGCAATAATAGCACACCCCGGCCGTCGTGTTTAGTAGTAGTAGTGCATGCATGCAATGAGTAATGTAAAAATACCCACTACGTAGTAGTAAGTCATGTATGTATGCATAACGTGCGTCTCCCTACAGCGAGCGCCGCACACCACACACCACACACCACATCTTCTAGCTACACGCGACCGACCACTGCATGTAGATTTTTGTCGTCGGACACTACTAGTCTACATAGTCGGTCGCCCCGGTGGTCTAGTTATTGGTATCCTCGAAACCTCCTAGATAGAGGTCAGGTCAGGGGTTCGAATCCCGGCGTAAGCGAGCTTGTCTTGCAAAGTGAGTTTTTCTCTCGCTTCCGCTTCTGGAGTGGATAGCGCTAGTTCGTGTGTACACAGAGGGAAGAGAGTGCTGAACTCTTCTCCCATTAAAAATCGAAGGCAATAACCGCAGGAGGGGAGGGGAGAGAGGGGCTCTTCTGTGTGACCACGAGTTATTATTGGAGTAAACGGCACTAGTGCTGTGAGCGCTGGTTTGAAGACTCGATTTGAAGTGAAGACTCCCCCCCCAAAAAAAAGTCTACAAATGCATAGTATTACGTTGCTGAAAAGTTGCGGTGAGCAGAGAAGATCTACGGATGGTTCAAAGAGGAGAATCTTCTACATTTTATAATTACGTTGTTGTGTTTCGCATGCATATGCATCGTATATAGTGTCTCCAGCGGGATCTGCTTGTATAGTACAGCAGTAGCAGTGCTGATGATGGCGAGGGTCATCATCGAACACACTCCTTGGTACTTTTCGGACAGAATAGCGTTCATGTCATTCGCCAGCAGGCAGATCTACACTCTCTGGTGAAACCTTTCCAAGTGTTCTCATCAAACGGAGCAGCCTGCAACCTACACAACGTGCCAACGCAGACCCTCCAACCAATGTACATTACTATGGGTGCGGACTGCGGACGCACGACCCATCCATGCGAAGCACCCACAACCCACAACAACACTACATACTGTTGTATGTTACCTTACCGTAAGTGGACAGATTAACGGCCGAAGGGTCTCAGGGAATCCTGGAACAGGCGGAAGTCAGATTACACACACCGCATGTATATGAAGATCCGGGAAAGCTCGTTGTGGACAGACATCCCGAATTTTAGCTGCTGGGAAGGATGGGGGTATGCGTAAGGTGCAGATTGAACGATCCACGGTGTGCTGCCACGTCTCTCTGTCTTCCAGCAACCTTCATTGGTGTCCGCTTGCATGAGAAGCTCGCCAGCATCTCCTCCTTGTTTGGGGTGGTGGCGTGCGGCGTCTGCTGTCGTCAAGAAGAAAATAATCCGGAACCCGCCCAATTCCGTTCAGCTCCTACAAGGCAGGTGTGATCTCGGTGAATTGCCACTGGCGTTTTGTACCGATAGAACCTCAAAATCACTAGGATACAGAGGAGCGCGGACTATTTTTACCCGCCCAGGTATTTACTGGCATACAAGTGTTGTTCTTTTCCCACTTGAAGCTGTGTGCCAATACAAAAAGCATATATATTAAGAAAAAAAAAAGTAGGTTCATGTAAAGAGTAAATCGCCGCAGGCCACGCCCTGTCTGTCGCAACCCCCCTGTTGCGAACGTCCTTCTTTTTCCATCAAACAACACCACGCACTCCTCGCACGACTGCCGCTGAAGGGCCACACCTACACCACCAGCTGCTACTGCTCTCCTTCCTCATCATCATCACTCCGGACCGCAAACCAAGCAAGGGAAGGGGAGAGTGCGCGTACGTCCACGCTGCTGCTGCTACCGCTGGTCTCCTCCAGGATCCAAACCAAGGCCTCTGCGCAACGCGGTCTCTCCATCCTCTTGGAGGAAAGAGACGGATCCGCGTTTTGGTCGGCAGTAGAGAGAGATTACGAAAGTGGAGATGCAGCAGGAGGATTGGGCTGCTGGCAACAACAACAACAACAACACCAACGCTCCTGCCGCTGCCGTTATGGTCCGTGCGCAACACCAGAAGCAACAGACAGACGAGAACTTGTCCCCTGCCCTGCTCGGGCTGCACGGCCAGCGCATCATGATGCCCGGCGCGGACTCGGAGCCAGCGCGGGTTGCTGGCGGAAACAACAAGCATAAGCACCAATCGTGCAACAACAACAACAACAGCGACTCGTCATCCGGCAATGGAGATCTCAACAACAAGGTCGAGCCTCTCATCGTGTTCGACTGGGACGACACCATGCTCACGTCCTCCTGGATCCAGGTCAACGACCTCCTGCAGGCTGGCTCCTATGACGAGCTTCCCCTGGAGGTCAGGCGGGATCTGGCGCAGCTCGAGCGCAGGTGAGAGAGAGAGCTTTTTGGCTCTCCTGGCGTGCGTTGTTGTTGGTCTTTTGAAGATACCGCGTGCCGTCGCGCGGGAGCAGCACGCACGACCTTTCTAGACAGAGCAACTGCAAAGATCACGGCAGCAGCACAAGGCAGCAGCGATTGTGCCGTCCGTGTGCACAGATCACGCCTCCCTCCTTCCTGTCGGTTGCTATCTCGGGAGCACAGCAGCAGCAGTGAGTGCATCCTACCGCGAGAGCACGAAAGAGCCAAACGAAGTGGAGACCGACTTCGACGGACCAAACGGTTGTACACATGCTGATGCATACACAACACAAGACAAAAATTTGATTCTCTTGTGTGCGAGGTATGATAGAACTACTGATGCTGTAGCTCCGCGACGCGCAAAGCATTGCTTGGCTGGCTGGTGCTGCTCCGCAGCATGACATCTCTGCTGAGAATATTCCAACCACACGGCCAGTAGCATAATCGCAAACGCCAAAGAGCGCACGCGAGGAGAAAAGAGACGCTGCTGCTGCAAAAAAGGGATTTTTCCAAGTGTGTTGCGATCTCCACCCGCCGCCCACCGGTTATTGCCACTCTCAAATCAAGTGGTACACATGCTGATGCATACACAACACAAGACAAAAATTTGATTCTCTTGTGTGCGAGGTATGATAGAACTACTGATGCTGTAGCTCCGCGACGCGCAAAGCATTGCTTGGCTGGCTGGTGCTGCTCCGCAGCATGACATCTCTGCTGAGAATATTCCAACCACACGGCCAGTAGCATAATCGCAAACGCCAAAGAGCGCACGCGAGGAGAAAAGAGACGCTGCTGCTGCAAAAAAGGGATTTTTCCAAGTGTGTTGCGATCTCCACCCGCCGCCCACCGGTTATTGCCACTCTCAAATCAAGTGTTTAATTGTCTTGGGTTTAGACCACATGTGAGACACAGAGATGCAGAGATTTTTTCAAAATATCATCGTCTAAGTTCGACCGTCTCTGTCAGCACTTGAAGACGGTCACGCCTTGTTGTACTAGAAGGCGTCTCGTTTGTCTCTAACTCACTCCCTTCTTGACCATCTATCTATCTATGCCCGCCTGGGATCGTCAAACGGCCGAGAGAGAGGGGTGGTTGATATACACATCCGCGAGTACAACCCCTGTGCAGTTGGTTTCGCGCGCGACTACTTCTTTCTGTATACTCCTACGTACTACTATAACACCCGCGAAAAAATCTCTTATTTCTGGTGTCTGGTCAGCCCAGCCCCCCTGTGCGCTTGATCTTCGCGCGACGACGGAATCTGTATTTTTTTCGAATATCGGCACGTGTGTGTGTGTGTGGTGTGTGTGCTACCCAGAGGGCGTGAACTCTTCGTGTCGACGACATCGTTCCCTCCAAGATTTTGATAAGGGCCCAGCCATCTAGCGTCGTCGCGCATCGCTCTCAGGGCAAGGACAATGCGGGCAGTTACAAAAGTTTCAATAGTCGTTCAATAATAAACGACGACGGCGGCGCCTGTGCAACAACATGATGAATTTTGCAAAGGTGTGGACACCTGCGGGTTGCACAATACGCACCTGGGACAATGCCCAACATCCAGCAGCCCCCCTGTTGCCTGTCGATAAATAAATGCCGACAGAGAGACATGTAAAATAGGTCACGCGTGGTTGCTCAACAACAACAACAGCGTTGGGCTTCACAGCATCAGTTCTAGACTGAAACATCTACAGCAGCAGCAGCAGCAGCAGTCCCTTACAATACGTAAGACTTCTTGGCAACGAGACGTGACTACACAGACACATAACAGCAGTTCACCCCTCCGAAAAACAACGTAAAGGGCCACGCACGCACGCATTCATTCGCATGATCGTAGTAACGGCGTCTAATGTATTTCCGAACGAACGATATTTTTATTTGTCTTGTGTTTGCCGACCTTTGGCGGGGTTGCAGAGAGAGGAGAGAGTTTCATCAGTCGTGCGTGGCACTCTTGTTACTTTTTTACTGGCGGTCGGTGTGCAAAATAGCATGTCGAGTGCAGAGTGTTTCATCCTAGTCTAACACGGCGCAAGCAAAAGCATTTTTTCCCCACCAATACAACAACGGCCCACTGAAGAACTAAATCTGCTTCTGTTGCTGTTGCTGTGACTTCAGTAGTTAGTTACAACAGCTAGCTGTGGTTGTAGAGAGTAGCCGTTGAGGCAAGATTTCAAAATTGCTGTCAATCCTGTATTCGAAAATAAACGGGATTCTTCAATCAATGTGGTTTGTATGTAGTCGAGATGCTCTCTCAGCAGGGGCGCGCAAAATTGATGTCGGCGTCGTTTCCGTTGGATTGGTTTTTTGCGTTTTTTGTTGCGTGGGAGGCCGGCCCTTGTTGAACCCGCGGGAAGGAAGGGTGTGTCCTTTTGACGATGCGTCTGGGAGTGGAGATTGTTAGCGAAGAGAGGTGGTGAAATATTTTACGGGCAGAGAGAGAGAGAGAGGTGGCTTCAACGGTAGGTATGTTTGTAGCGTACACAGTAATGATACAGTAAAAAAAGAAGAAAAAAAATGATGTTCGTCCTTGAAATTGTTCTACGATGTATACCCGTACAGCAGTACCTACCTCCTGTGGTTTGTTTCCATTTTTTTCTTCATCCACCAGAAAAAAATAAACTAAAGCTCTTTTCTCCTTTTTTCGCCAAACAAACACCGCCGTCCGCGGCGTGACAGCGTGGTCAAGTGCTTGAAGAACGCTCGCCGTCTGGGCACGGTGATTATTATCACGAACGCCGAATCGGGATGGGTGGAGGTGAGAGAAATAGATGGCATGGGCGGGTGCGGTTATAGGTTGGTGGTGGCAAATTTTGTAACAGCAGGAGGCGCGGAGAAAAGAAGAACATCCAGAACGAAGGGTCGCGAGATTCTTGTCTCTCATCATGCACCTTAACACATCCAACCGTCTCGTTTGACGTATGTATGCATGTGTCGCTGCATATCCTACAGATGCCAAGCTTTCAAGTCAGCTTGGTCGACTCAAATAGACAAATTAGGCGTTGCATGGGGCACGTTCGTTGTTGTGGAGTATGGGTTTCGTAGTTTTGCTACTGAGGCTTGGAGACTTTGGTGTTTTGCCAAGAAAGAGACGACTGACGGACGAAGGGACACCCCAAGCAAGTTCGCTCGCTCGTTCGCTCGCGTGTCATGAATCGTCGGTGTTTGGCCGCCGCCGTTTTCTGACGGCGCCAGTCCGTTGCGTTCCCGGTGGTCGGTGATCGAAGAGGGAACGAATGAATTTGTGACTGCCGAGAAATTATTCGTTCCGCCAACGCAGAAACGCTCACGCCTCTCCTCTAGAGTTGAACATACGCGCTTTTCCTTGCATATGCATACGTACGTGCTCTTTTCGTATCGCAACAACACAACCAGCTTACAAGTAGTACTTCAATAAAGACGGCCGACTCATCACGAGAGTGATCTCCCATAGTACTCTTACGAAACCATGTGAGTGCATCACTTTTGACCCCAAGTACTACTGTTTCGTGTGTGTATTGTCTTGGTGTGTGCAGTTGAGCGCCGCCCGGTTCTTCGTGAACGTCCTGCCTCTCCTCGAGGGCGTGCCGGTCATCAGCGCCCGCTCGCTGTTCGAGTCGCAGTTTCCGGGTTCTCCTCTGTGCTGGAAGGTGCGCATGAGTCGCTGGTTATTCATGCTGCTGTTGGTGTATGGGTTGAAGGTAATATTGCGGAGGATGTTGGGCGTCTTGACGACGATTTTCAGGCTGGATTCACCACGAACGAGCCTCGTGCGTTGTTGTTGTTGCTGCTCGCGTTTAACCCCATCGCTCATTGTTTCCCCCGCCTTGCCCCTGCCCGTCCTCCCATCGAAAAATACCGACTCCGGCAAAAACAATATTGACAACGATGACGACCACCACAATCTCCGACCTCAACGTTAAACGACACCGATGGACGTACGCGCGACAACGACAGTCGGCGGCATTCGCGTACATGATGCACGACCACTTCCTCGAGCGCCCGCAGTGGATGCAGAAGAAGGTGGTGAGCATCGGAGACTCGAACGAGGAGAAGGTGGCCATGCGCATCGCCTCCGGCCAGCACGGCACGATGGCGGCCAAGTCGGTCAAGTTCATCACCGGCCCGGACCCTGAGGCCCTCGCTTGCCAGCTAGACTTCGTCACGTGAGTCCGTTGTGTGTTTTGGTCATTCGCTGTCGGTGGTATGTCGTGGTGGCGACCTGGTTCGGATTTGTGTACGGTTGTCCCAACCGGTATCGAAGCTTGGGCGTGATGGCTGACGGCCGTAGGCAGACGCATTTAGCAACATGTCCGCGTGTAGGTGTAGAAATCGTCCCTCCACCGCCACCGAACAAACCGTCCTTGGTATAGTCTAGCTATGTATCCAGTTCCAGCTTAGGTTCTGGACTCAAAAAGAGTTACATACATGGCTTGGCTTTTAATGACAACGTTTTTTGCTGTCGTCACCCCTCAACATGTTTTCTCGAAAGTAAACCCATTGTCCCTGCAACTCTCGTCGCCATGCCCTGTTTTTTTTTCTTCCAGGAAGCACCTGGCATCGGTCCTCTCGAGCAACAGCGACGTGGACATCGTCCTCGACGCGTCCATGATCCACGGGTCCTACTCCCTCCCCCTGCACTCCCGCGGAGTCTACGACGACCTTCACCAGCAGCAGCCCCAGCAGCAGCACCAACAGCTCCCGCTTGCGGCAAGCCCGCGCCCCTCCTGCTCCTCCCCCTCGTCCTCTTCGTCGACGTCTTCGTCTTCGTCGTACGGCGCCCCCGCAGCAGCAACCAACCCCTGCTGCACTGCTTCTGCTAGCACCGCCACGCGTGCTCAGTCGCCCAGTGCCGCAACAGCCTTCTCTACGCCATCATCATCATCATCACCATCTACGGTGTCGTCTTCGTCCACGACGTTCGGCTCTACGCGTGGCGCCTGCGGCGGCGGCGTCGTCGCTGTCGCCGGCAGGGGGCGCAGCAGCAGCATGGGCAACGGCTGTGACCGTGTCGAGAGGCCTACCGCAAGAAGCTCTTCATCTTCTTTCCGGCGAGACCCTTCCTCATCTCGCCAGCAGTACCTGGCCCTCAAGAGACGTGCGTCTTCTAGCCCCATCCCCATCCCCCCCGCCGCCAACGCCAACGCCAACGCCGGGGGGCACCACGGAAGAGGCAGAGGAGGAAGTGCTACCGGGGGGGGGGGGACACCACGATCGGTCGAGGGCGGGGGCGACTGCGTCCAGCCCTTCCCCCCGTCCCAGCCTGAAGATGTCGGCGGGCCCCTATCCTCCGCCCCCTCGTCCTCCTCGTCGTGCGCTTGGGCGACAATGACGCCGCCGTCCGCGAACGGCAGCAGCAGCGGCGAGGGCGAAGCGATCATGGCACCGGCGGGGGCGCGGTTCTACCGGGGGCGAGCGCGCAACGGAGGCGGCGGGGGCCGCGGAGCGGAGGGGAGGAGCGCGTACGGCGGCGGCTTTCCCTGCCAGGTGGACGGCGGCAGCCGCCCCCGCGGTCGGGGGGGCGATGGTGGTGGTGGTGTAGTTGGCAGGAGGATCAAGGGCGTCAAGTCCGGGGAGGGTTCCGCGGTGGCGGGGGCGGGGACGAAGGCGGCCGTGGCAGTGGCAGTGGCCTCGGAGAAGGGCAAGGCGGCGGGGGACAGCGGCTGCGTGTTTGGTGTCGTCGAGGCGGTGGGCGGCTGCCTAGCCCCCGATGCCGGGGCCGAGTGAGGGCGCTTGGTTGGGAGTCTAGAGCAACGGCGAGGCAGCGCGGCGGCGGACACGAGAGGCCCGTACCGGTATCATTGCCGTACGTCGACCCCGACCTACATACCCGACGCGTGAAAACACCCCCCTCGCCCGGGAGTTCCAACGAAGTGGTAGTGCTTGCTGGCCGCAGCAGGGAGGGAGGGAGGAGTCTTCTTCTTCTTCTTCTTCTTCTTCTTCTCTTCTTCTTCCTCGGCGTGACAACAGTAGCGCCAACATTCGGCTGGGGAGGTGGGTGGGTGGTGAAGTGGTGTGTAGTTAGCTGCCGACTGCCGACAGGGCAAGGAACATGGCGGTGGGATCACGAACGGCTCGCGCGCGCGCGGCCGGAGTCGCGGCATCTGACCGTAGGGTGGCGAGCTGGCTGGCTGGGGTCACCGCGTGAGGAAGGAAGGACTGAACACAATATTAGTAAAGTACAAATATGAAACGTTTTTTTTACTATTTTTTTTGCTTGTCGATTGAATGTTTGTCGACGTTTTAGACCTCTTCGTTTACAGTGTTTTTTTGGGGCGTGAGTATCCGGTATGCTTGCGGCAGCCGCGGCGGCGTCTAAGTACCGACCATGTAACCATGTAGAAGCAGTTTCCATCGAGGTTTGGTTTGCTTGTTGTACAATGCGCTTTTTTTATCGGTTTGGATTTTTTTTGTCTCTGCTAGGAGGGAGAAGAAACGGTCTGGAAATTGCTTGTTTTCGGTGAGTGGGAAGGAAATGAGACTTGTATCGCAGCAGCGACAAAGCGGAGACATATTTTGATACGGGACACAAACGCTAGCTGTAAGGACCGGCGAATTCCTTTCCGAGAGTTTCCCACAAATGGTCCACCTACTTGACATCATTCGGGATTATACGTGGCGAGGCTGGCAACGTCTGTGTGACACCTGACCTGGTGGCTGTTGTGTTTTTTTCTTTACTGCGATGGCTGTCAGCTTCGTAAGGGTTGCACGTTCTCAGTTTGTTTCTACCTCTTTACGGCTTGGGAAGTCTTACGGGTGGTTTCCCTCGCACATACCGCGCGACAAGAGGCCCGCGGGGAGGGTTTGGCAAGTACGTCGGTATAGTAGTCTTCCATGCACACAAAAGCCCAGGCGCGGTGTGCGCGGGAGTGGTGGGAAACGTGTCATGGCACTTGGAAGTCATTAGCATAGTCTTATCTCTTTGACCCCCACCCCCCACGGTGCCATCGCGTCCACGAGCGCGCGGCTAGCTGTTGCGGGTGTGCTGAGAGTCAAGAATGCCGGAGGAGAGTGAGAGGAGATGGCAAGCACGTTGGTTCTGTTTCAACTTACGTTCTCTGGCGGGAGGGTGTTTTGAGGTGTGAGGGAGAGGGGGTACGCAGACCTTCGGCGGGAGCGGGGGCACAGTAGCTCCAGGCCCGACGGGAGGCGGGAGGGCGGGGATTAGGCCGACAGAACAAGCGCGGGGTGTTTGCATGAGCGCTTTCACTGCTCAATCACGTGCCCTCTGGCTGCTTGTGTGTGATGTGTCATTCCTCCTACATGGTTTATTTGATTTTTGTTTTTGGCTGTGCGAGCGGGGCCGGAGAGAATCAACGATTAAAAAAAAATGGTGGGGGAAAGAGGAGGAAGAGTACGGGGTGGTGGTAGTGCGATGGGTTAAGTTGAGGGGGGGGGGGGGGATTGTCATGTCCTTACAAAGTAGGTTTCTCGCCCCTAAGAACGAGAAGCCAAATTTTTCGCGATTTTTTGGGTCGCCTTGTA